CAACTTCCAATGTGAAGATATTAAAATGAACGTGTGTTTTAGTAGCTTTGTTGCTCTGAATAGTGGCAATGAAACCAGAAGGACTTGCGCTTTCCCAAGAGATGGGTACAGAGCCCGAAGCAGTTTCAAATTTAACTATGAAGTAGTAAAGCATAGAATATAAATTTCTTTCCTTGCATGATTTGTGCAAGAGTTGTTTCCTTCAAAGCTGTAGGATGTAAGCAGGTAGATTTTTCAGGTTGTGCAAGTAATTACAATCTAAGAGCAGAATGACACATGGACAGCCTGGGATTTTTTTGGGGTGTCACAGAGCACAAGAGCAAAAATCTCAGCCTGTACATACAGGCACAGGGTTACAGAAGTAAGCCAAGTTGCACCCTCCTTATACCAGAATTAATTCTGAATCTTGTCTTAATTTACCATATTGATGCAGTTCACTCCTCTGAATGGAAAAAAAAGTTGTTCCACATTGAGCAGAACTACTAGCAAATTTATTTCTTGTACCTGCCCATCTGAGCTGCTTTGCAAGTTGTCTGTTTAATTGGCAAATGGAAACAGGACTCTCACTGATTCCATGCTGTGTGCGTGCTGCCTGGGCGTCTAGCTGTTGCTTCTTCCAAGATAAGAGACTCAGTTCTGCTTCTCTTCACCTCTGTGGGGACAGTAATTGTGTAAACAATGCTTTACAAATACCACTAACTTCATACTAAAAGGAACTGAAGGTTGACTGGTCCAACTTCTGCTTCCAGTGAAGATGACAAACTCGGATTGGATACCCTAGGGTCCCCTGGTAGCTGATAGAGAGGGACAAGAAATCTTAGAGTATCTCTTCTGACTTATTTTAAATGTTTGCTTCAGTGGAGATTAATTGTGATGTACTTGTTTCTTTTTGTTGACTTCTTGCGTAGCCCTGAGTCACTAGCTCGGATGGCCTGTTTAATGTGGCTGAACTTTGTCCTTTTTTCTAGTCACTCTGAACATGGGCCAAGATGTGTATGACAAGTCGCACACGGCTTGCTTCCTTTGGAAACCAGCCCGAAACCCAGCCAAGTATCTCCCTTTGTCTGTAGGAACAATAGTACCTGTCAGTGCAGTGGTGATTATATGAGCTTTTGTTCTGTGTTGTACAATTCAAATATATCTAAACATGTGGATATATTGTTTTGGTGACATGAGTAAAGCAGTTTTGCAGCTGATTAAGGAAATAGACTTTAATTTTGCATTTTCAAGTTTGTTAACCTGTGTTCTACCTGTTCTTCCCCGCTCTCTTTATTTTTGAAATCATTGTGCACACATTCCTGTTGAAATCATATATGCCCTACAAAGGTGAGTTATTGAAAAACGTTTGGGTCACAGCAGTGATCTTGAAAGATCCATTTCTGTTACTTGTAATGCAAATTAGTTGCTGTTGTGTATGTTTTAAATGAAGCCCTTAAAGTTAGCAATACGCCAGTAAAAGCATCCAGTTACAGAAGCTGGTGGGATTAGGTAGTTTATTGCAGGAGCCAGTTATTGTGGTAGCTGCATAAAGTATAAATACTGATGCAGTATGACTTTTAGCACTGGAGACTAGTTTAAAAATCAGTGGAACTGTTAATTGATAACTAATCATAGCCTCATGTTTTCGGACTAGAAGCTGTGGTTGTAGTAGAGGATCTGCCTCTGGATCTCATGCCAGAAGACAAAATTTCTATAGAAAAATAAAAAGGTGGCTGATTGTGTTAAAATTCTGTCTAGGAGTATGATACTGCTTCTGTTGATGGCCAAAACATATATGTTTTTGCCTTTCTGTCAGCATATACCAGAACAACTTCATCCTACCGGAGTGTTAATTCATTTAAAAATGGACCTTTTAGGTTGTCTGGGTTAAAACTATTCTTATCACTGTGAGTCTTCAACATGTTGTTAAGGAAGGAATATTTTAAAAACAGAGCTGTACAGCGCTAATCAAAATGCAGGCTGATTACAAGGCTAATGACAAAGCCCCATTCCCTAGTTTGTAGTAATTCAAAATCCCATTTCCTGGGATATTGATCATTCTTCTTTTTCTCCCTGGGATAGCATCTGAAGGGCAATCTGGAAATGCGTTATGAAAATATGAAGAGCTGACTTTGATCAAATCTTAGAGTAGAAATCTAATCTACTTTTTCTGTACAGTAATCTTCTCTTTAGCAAGTAGTGGCGTAATTCCATACTATCTGAGGTCAGTACATCTGAATAAAAGTGTCTAATCTCTGTCTCAGAGCTCTCTGACTTTGTCTTTCAGATTCTAATGTTATCATGTAGTAAACGTACTCCTAGCTGCCATGTTCCTTAGACGTGAACAATAAAATCATTGGTTCTATCATGCCTTATCAGCATGGGTGCAATTTGATTCCAGACAATGGAATTTGCATACTTGCCTCTGAAGAGAAACTGGATGTCCAAGGTTACTGTCTGTGTAATGCCAAATTACTTGTATTGACAGGAACATGTAAGAGCACCTTGCTGAAAACCACAACTTTATTGATTTCCTTGAGGTTACACAAGAACTGGATAGGTTTGAGAGGACAGCAGTGGATTGTGTGTTTGAACAGGACTTTCTTGGAGAGGAGCAACCTAACTTCCTTCATTTTTGGTCCTCACATGACTGAGAGCCAAAAGACGTGCTATAATCCTCTGAGATTTAAGATGTCCACTTCAATCCGAGCTCCTCTTGGGGCTAACAAATCTCTGAGGATCTCTCATCTTGTTTTAGAATAGGGTTAGGGCTGCTGTGCAGTTGGGTGACCTAGTGGCAATGTTGGCGTTAGTGATGCTTATTAACTTTCCAGTGTAGCAAGGACTTGGAGCTACATCGTCTGACTGCAGTCAGACTGTGGTGTCATAGGTTACCCAGCATTCTCCATCGTAGGTGACTACAGCACTTGGACTGTCTGAAGAAGCTCAAGGACCTTAGGCTACCCACCCCTAATAGAAATATTGATCCTTATATTTGATCCTTATATTTATATTGCAATTCATGAACTGAAATGTTGAGCCTAGCCTCTTACTTGGAGCCTCTTACTATTAGGCTGTATGCCAGATTCTGCAGTACTGCTGGATTACTTTATGCTATCTTTACTCTTAATTTCTATATTAACTGTAGTTGGATACACCTGTTTTGTATATTTTTTCTCTCCCCAGGGACAAAGCCGGTGGATACGGAATCCAGGCCCTCGGTGGAATGTTAGTTGAGTATGTCCACGGAGACTTTTTGAATGTGGTGGGATTTCCTCTGAATCACTTCTGCAAAAAGCTAGTAGAGTTGTACTGTCCGCCCCCTAAACATAGCATACACCATATAAAGCATGACTCTATCCCTTCTGTGGACACTTTTGAGAACCTAAGTGATGGAGAAAGTGAATCCTCAAATTCTGCAGCGCATAAAGGTGCTAACAAGTTGGACAGTAGTAGGACACATCCTTCAGGACCTGTTTGCAATTCAGAAGACAGTTACCATGTCAAAACTGCTTTTATGGTGCCTTTGGAAAATCAGAATGGAGTATTGGAAAACGCAGCAAAATTCCCATCTACAATTCTAGAGCTGATGGATGGTTTTAGAGCTTCAAAGGTAAAAACAAAAAACCCTTCCAAGAATACTCACTACTGTTCCTACTGATGTATGATTGCATCATTGGACTTTAATATACTAGCAGGTAATGTGAGATATTTGAGCCTGGGTAAGAATGTCTTAATAACTAAGTATAAGTTCTAGAGAGTCTAAAATTAAAATAGCTGAAACTTCTCATATGGTGAAGTGTTTTCATTACTGGCTTTAACCTGGTCTATGACACTTGAACCCGCCCCAGACTTGCATGTTTTGCCTCAGGTGTGCTTCTCAGGGTTCTGGGAAATACTACCGAAGAGACCCCTTGCTCCCCATGTGTGCCTTTTTTCATCTTGTCTAATTCAGTGTAGTTTATGTAAGATCATAATTTATTTTCCAGTAGCTACAATAGTGATTTTGGTATCTGTGTGTTAAGTGTGAGGCTGCCATGTAACGAGAGCCTCGGAAATGTATTATGCAAAATTTACTCAGTAAGCAAAGTGGAATGCTGTAGGGAGAAATTTAAAAATGCTTTTAAGAAATGTGAATTTCTTGCTAACTATTTGAGTTTGGGTTTTTTTGTACCAATCACAGGAGCACAATCAAATATAGAGTTAACTTTCTAGATACTATTTGCAGAGAAGGCATTTTATAAGTTTAATTTATCTATCTATCTATCATTTATTTAATGTATATACAGTGCTTGTCACAGTTTTTTTCCTCCTTCCTTTTTACACTTAATTCTTTGCATTATGCTTTTCTGGAAGATCTTAATCATTTCTTTTGTTCCTTATTGATGAAATATGCTTCATACCCTGAATGTGAAACAGGATATTTTTAACTGATAATGCAATAGCTGATGGAGACGTACACAGAACAGTCCACAAACTGAAGATCTCGGCATGCTCTGTCAAGCAGCCAAGTGTCATGGGAAGGAGTAGTTGGATGCTTTAAAAACAGTGCCAAGTTTTCTACTTAGAGCTCCAGCGTAGCTAAAACAACAGTGAAGAGGGTGAAGGAGAAATGGGCATTCTAAGTAGATCTTTGATCTGTCAAGTCATTCAGGCTTCAGGAAGTGGTGAAAAAACATAGAAGTGGCAGTGAAATGACAAACCTGGCTCTGAAGATAGACTGTATCTTGGCCAGGGCGGACAGGGGTACAGGGACAAAAAACAATGGGCCGTGGTTCTGCTGAAACAGCAGAAAGTTGTGCTTGGATATGAAGGAAAACTGTAGGGTGTTGGTTACTGTAGATCTGTGGGCAAGCTACTTGCAGGCATGCAAGGCAGAGCTGAAAACTTTGGGATAAAGCTGCCTTGAGACTGACAGGTTTGTGAGTACTTCCATAGTATTTAAAATGGAAGTGTAGCTGTCTCCTCCAGAAAGGAAAGTAGAACTAAAGGAAACATTAAGAGACTTTCTAGAGTGTGTTCAGGTATTACAGGAGGCTGCTGTGTGTTAGGCTGTACATTAGAGCAATTATATTTTTCTTAGTTATATGCAAATACAGTTAAGTGAATTAAAACCAGATATGATTGGACAAAAATTCCAGTTAACTGGGCAGCAGCAGCAGGCTATGTTAGCAGATATTTCCAGGGCTAGTGCCAGACTCATCAAGTGAGATGTGTTCACAGGGAGTACATGTCGATGTATTTGAAAAAGTAGGATGCTGCGTATCATTTCTCAAAGTTAAGTGCAAAATATGGAGAATTGCTAGCATTTTGTTTATATATACTGTTCATTGTGATGTAATGCAAGTTTTGTGCAATGCGACAAACGGAGGCAACTGTAAATAGAAACAGAAGACAAGTTTTATTTTCCCAGAAATTCAGCTTACAGTCCTACTGTGAAGTACTGACTCTCATATTGAACCAATGTGATTTTTTTTTTAATGGTTTAGGCCTTCTAAAATTAGTTACCAGTTGTGACGGACTATTCCTGTTATCTCTGGAAAAACCTCAACTCTTTCCGCATGTAGAGTAAGGATGACTGCACAAAGGCATCTAGTCAGATTAAAAATTCTGTCTATATCATCTTGAACCCTAACTTTTGTTTCAGTCTTTATAAAGCAGATTGAAGTCTGCTGCAGAGGAAAAAAAACATTGCCACTTGCTTTACTCCTAAGGGCTGCTGTTACAGAACAGTAGAGGATCAGGGTTAAATAACTTTTTTAATTTTTAAACCTAATATGTTTTGAATTTGCATAGCCTGGCGAACGTCCTGATCCTTGTTCAGATTTCCCCCTCCCCGCACCCCCTCGCCATCTTTGGTTTGAAACAGGGTTACAGAATGGTAAAAAGTATTTTGGATCTGCCAAGGTTTTGACCATATCTTCCTACCTTCTCTTTCCTGTTCTCGGGTTTTTCCAGGTGGTATTTGTCCAAAGATTAGGCGAGTCTTGGAACCCAAATGGTTATAGACCTGATAGTTGGCTCAGTATTGTGAAGGTCTGGATTCTGTGATAAATCCCAATTGTACGTTGTTGTTTTTAGAATAACAGAAGAAACCTTGAAAGAGGATGAGTTCTGTAAACTTAGATGTTTGCATGCTGCATGCGTGCACACCATCCTCCCAATTTAATCTCCTTTTTCTCCATTTGATTTTTATTAAACAGAATGTGAAGTCCTTTTTATCTTGACAGTCTGATTTTTTTGTGTATTGTAGTTGCCTGCAGTTGTGAAGAAATGGATTCAGGGACCGCTCTGTGCATTTCCACACTTGTGTTCTACATCAGTTCTTTGCTTTTAGGTGTTCTAAGTTTTCCACGTTGTGTTTCAGAATACTAAAGCTATAAAACAGGAGTGGTATACAAATTGAGAGGTATACATTATCACATCATTAGTGTTCCTCTCCAACTAATAAATTTCTCTACAAGTTCAGCTGAGTTTTTTCCAACCTACACAGCTGAATTGCATATGGGTTTCTTCCACAGTCAGGCAATGACCGTTTTGTCCCCATTCTGTGCGTACCTGTCCTGTTAAGGGGCACAGTATAGTAGAGTTGTGCCCTTAAGTTTTATTCCGGCAAATTAAACAATCACCAATCTTTGCTTAATTACTGAAGCTGTTACACTGCGTTAGTGGGGCTTTCCAGTTCTATATTTTTAGGCCAATCAAACTTAATTTTTTTATGGGCTTTCTTTGGCATCAATTCAGAAACATGCTTAAGCATGTTTAACTTTATGGAATGTGCTCATAGCAAGGTATATGCAAAATACCTGAATAAATAGGTCTCCTTTATACAAAATCTGTAGATTGTTCCAGTATCTTTCATGTTCCCCTGTCTCCCGAACAGTGTCACTTGGCTAAAGATCCTGAAACCTGCTAGGAGAAGAAAGGAAACCTGTCATAGCAATTAGGAGTTCTTTGTTACACTCTTCCACAGCTACTTTTCTTTAGGAATAATACTTCTGACGTGTTTGTCCAGGACAAAAGGTAGAGTTTTGTTTCTTGATTGCAGTTTTTTAAATGTAACTTACTAACAGGTACTTCCTACACACAGGCTCTGTTTGTAGCCTCTAAGCTGAAGGTGTTTGATCATCTGAAAGATAAAGGTGCACTGAATGCTGTGGATGTTGCAAATGAGATTGGAGCTTCCCTGTGTGGAACAGAAAGACTCCTTGATGCATGTGCTGCACTTGGATTACTGGAGAAACCACCTCAGGGTGATTTTTTTTTTTTTTTTTTTTTTATTAAAAAGTGGGAGAGTGAGGAGATGAGAGAGGAAAAAAGACCAAACTGGTCAAACCATGCCTTTTATCCTCTTTGTCTCATGAGTCAGGGGAGAAGAGTTCCCCGAAACTGCATATAAGTGCTAGAAAATCATTGCTTGAGGATTGCTGTTGTATCCCAGAGACCAACCTGATGTTGTGGGTAGCCTGTATTTGGGGAGAGCTGGAGGGGGAGGGAATAATTCCACCACTCAAATGATGGAAGCTGGAATTATTTTATGTGGGAGCAGGCACTTCTAAACGAACATCTCAAGCCTCCTTTATTGGAGAAACCCTGGGATTGCTGTTGACACTGACATTAGGCACTGTACCCCACTTCCTCTCTGGACATAATACTGACCACTGCCAAAAGGAAAACCTGTATGGGCAGTCCCAGGGAACAGTGTAAACAGCCCATAAACAGTATAAAATATATATATATATAAGCAGTATAAATATAACAGTATAAAATGAGGACAAATTCTCTTTTCTGCTACAACAGCAGAATAGAATCACAAATTTCAGCAGACCATCAGGGTATTACTGAGAGGAGAGCTCTGGAGTATGCCCATTTTCATGGGCAACAATTTAAATTTTAGCACCCCTAACTGGCACCATGGTTGAAGGTGCATGTAGGTGAGGGAGTCAGTAACAGGATTAACTCTTTCAGTCTTCACTATGTACTTAGAAGTTTCCATATACATTGCTTGAGTAGTATGCCTTGAAGAGGTCAAGTGCCGCAAAGAGGAAATAAAGGAATCTTTCAACTCTTTTAGAGAGCAAGACCAAGGAGAAAGCCCTAAAGGCAAAACATGATGGAGAAAGCTTGAGTTTAAGGGAAGGAGGAGGCGTAAGCTGAGAAACGTAGCGAAGAATGAGGAACTTCTAATAGTCTCCCTTCAATATTAGGTATATAATTGAGATACTCTAGCAAGAAAAAAAAATCGGTGTCTGTCTGTCTTTTTGGCACTTTAAGTTCTTTGTTTTTAGAAATAATTTATGATTCTGTTTCTCTAAGAATGAGAAGACCTTAGAACCGTTTCATAGGAACAGTTGTACAGAGAAGATACTGTGATTCCAAGATTGCTATTTACTAGCTATTTAACAGCTGCACATGAAAATGTGCCTTCAGATGCTGACAATTACAAGCGCTGAAACAAAATTAATTACAATTGTTTTCTTCCCATAAGGTTACAGTAATACAGATGCAGCAAGTATCTATCTGACCTCAGATGGTAAATACTCACTTCATGGCTACATTATCCACTCTAATGACCACCTTTGGCCTCTCTTTACAAACCTGGAATCTGCTGTCAAAGAAGGAACCAGGCAGAACCATCGAGCCTTTGGAAAGAAAACAGAGGATTTATTTAAGGTAGTGTAAATTTATTTGTTTGAAAACTAGTTGTGAGTGGCTCAGAAAAACTGATCTAGGGTGAAATGAAGACTGAACTGTCTAAGAAAGTAGGTGAATCTCAGGATACTAGAAACACAATGAATGTAACTTTGTAGTCCCACACTTCTGCTCTCTTCAGGTTTATTGTGCAAGCTTTAGGCTTGAATATGCCTGAGCAATCACAGAGTATGTTAGGAAGTTTGAGAGCGCTGAGGAAAATTGTCCGGCTAAAGTATTGCCTGTCCAACTAACATGCTCCCAGAACAACCTCTGGGCACGTGTAGCTTACTGATGTGTAGCCTTTATATAATGCCAGGTAGTACCTGGTACATGTACTCCTTCTGGCATTGAAAGCTGATCCCGCAGTACTGATGGAAGCAAAGATCCAGTGTAATATGTGCTGACTGCATGTTCAAAGCTCTATTTAAAGTCATCTTCTACAAATGCAGTAGAGAGGGGCTCAGTATATTTTATTTAGGCTGTAATTTTGTATATACTTCAAGCTGGCATATACCATTGTTAAGAAATGCAGTCCTTCCCTCCATCTGTTTCCATCTCCGTAGCATTCCTTTCCTTATGCTAGCACAGGTGGATATGCTAGGACTGGGGAATCACTTAGTGTTATAACTAGCCTTAACTACTCAATTCTCCAACCTGCTTCACCAGGTGGCTGCATAAATGTTTGTGGCAGTTTAAGGAGAGGGGTGGTAGACTGAGCAGGAAAAGGTGTCAGGGCTTTGTCTTTAAGGCAGCAGTGCTGTCAAAGTCTGCTTGTGACTACATCCTGTTCCTAACTCGTAGATGCTAATGGAGCCATTCTCCTAAAAGAAACATTTCCATCCCTTATGTACAGTTGAAGGAAGGAAGCAAGGGCTTCTGAAGACCTCCAGAAGAAGATACTGTTAGCGTAATGTTAGTTTTTAGATTTCTGGTGAACAAAACTCTTGGGAATCTTTCCAAGGCTGCTTTAAACAGAGCTTAGATACTTTGCTTTAGTATGATTGCTGCAGTAGGTATTTAAATTCATATGCGAGTTAGGTGCTTTAAGATAGCAACACAGGATGAGATCCAGTTCACCTTATCCAGATTACTGCCTTTAGTTTACTTGGGTAATGCTAGTGGCAGGAGTCACTAGCAGTTTAGGCTCTGTGTGTGCAGAATATACATGTTACCTCTGTGCTCGTGGCAGTACCTAGAGATCCTTCCACTACATAGTTAGTAAAGCCATAGATAACTGTAGTCTGTACGCGAGTGAGAGAGAAATGTCATCCAGAAGCTAAAGACCTGAAGTTCTGGTGCTGAATACCTCTCAACCAGTCCAAAAACAAAGTATGATCTTTAATCTTCCTATTTTAAGTCATGGTCCAACTGCTTAGTTGCTTTCTTGCCATGGGAGAATAAATGTCAGAATCCAATGAAAACAATTTGGGCATGTATCAAAAAAAAAAAAGAAGAAAACGTTTTAGGAGACTAGTGGAAGAAAGTCAAATCTGTTCTTTCAAACTAAGTTTAAAGTCTAGAGACACCTTGCTATGAAGCAAATGTGTTATTAAATATATATCAAGGACACAATATTTCTTTAAAGAAAGCATTTGGTAAATTACCCTCTCTGCCTTCTCTGCCCCAACTCCAGGGATCAGAAGTGTTAAATATGACAGTCCTTGAGACATCTCCAAGACTATAATCAAAATATCCAAATATGTTATTTGAGACACTAGAAAAGACGTCTCTGGGATTTTGGAGAAGAGTGAAATTTCTGCTTTTCACTACAATGAAACAGCTTGTAATTGCCAAGAAAGGACTTGGATGAGCAGCTGGTCAAAGTCACTTTGAACTAATCCTTCAATTTTAGATTTTTTCACATTAATGGTGCAGAAGAACACCTACTGCCCTTGTTAGACATAGTTTTAGTTTTGTTTAGTATTAGTAATGAAAATAAAATTTGACTGCTGTGTGGGTGTTTTATTTCATTTTTATTTATTTGTTAGGACTATTACCACAGCCAGGAGGTGAAGCAGCGTTTTATGGCTGCCATGCACAGCGTTGCCCACCTGACAGCAAGAGATGTGGCTACAGCATTTGATCTTTCACAGTTTAAGTCTGCGTGTGATTTAGGAGGTATTGCCTATATTTGAACCTTTGCATACAAATTATAGGGAAAAGTTGATTTCAGTTCCATGTTTTATTATTTCACTAAAACTGCAGTAAAATCATCTAGTGTTATTTGCCTGGTATTGTTACTATGGTATCCAAACAGGTTTAAGTACAGCTGAAAGCAGTTACTTATGTAGTATTGACTTGCTTAAAATAATTAAATCATCACAAACATATTTGAGTAATCAGCTATGTACTGACATATGGCTCAGATAACACAGAAAACAAGATGGTTTGTGGCTCAGCTGATAGAATATTGGGCTGGGAGATCCATTTTTGACTGTGCTGATGGTGCCCTCTGGCATCTCCTCAGGATTTTCAGAAATAAAAAGGATTTCTGGATCCTTCCATATGGGGGTGTCAAACTTGAAAAACACTGTATTGATTAGAACAAATTTTGGAGTCCTTTAGAATGGATTGACAAGTTTGTTTGCTTTTGACTTTTGTATTCTTAATATCCAAAGATGACCACTAACGTTTTGAAAACCAATGATATACCTGAAGAGATTCTCCTTGTTAGTATCCGTTTTAACTGTATGCTTGGAGTTGCATGGAGAGGGTGATGTTACAAAGGGAAAAGATCCAGTGAAGGAAGAACCTTTTACTCTGTGTCTAGAGAGGTGTGTGGCATGTCAGAGGAATTAACACAATATTGGTGCAGCCTTTGCCACTTGTCCAGAAATTAAGACCTCACCGTCTTATCATTCACTATGCTGAGGAGGGGTTGTCGGTCTCTAGAAATCAGCACTTTGTGAGTGATTCATAGTTCCCCTGCTGCTCTTCATCCACAAATTACAAGTCATTGTGGTTTCACTAGTGTTCTTCTACAAAGAAACTGAGCTACTGGGCAGTTCAGTGGCTTGTCAAAGGCCACGTTAAAATGTCTGTGACAGAGGAGGGAGTAAAGCCTGCGTTCCCCAACCTCCAAGACCTATCCACTAGGAAGTGCTATTGCCAGTGTTCCTTGTGGAGCTTACTGGCTACTTTTAATTCTAACTTCATGCCTCTGTCTTAGAGTTAATACAGCCTTGTCTTAAAAATCTGTGCAAATGCCATGAGAAAAGACTTATGTGTGTGTGGTGTTTTTTTTCTAACTTCTAACAGGTTGCACTGGAGCTCTGGCTTATGAATTAGTACAAATATACCCAAATCTGAAGGTCACTGTATTTGACCTTCCAGAAGTCATTGCAAATGCCTCTTATTTTCAGCCTTCAGGTCCATGCACAGCTCCAGTGACGTTTGTATCAGGTAAGTGTAAAACATAACTTTTGTGCTCTTATTTCTATTATCGTGGAGCACAGAGCAGGCTCATCTGCTGCAGGAAGCAATGTGCTGTCCTAGTCAACTTGAATGTGTCTTGTGCTGAAAGACAATGTGGGCTTACCCATGCTAAATAGGCTGCAGGGCAAAAAAACAAACTGATTATAGTTGGAGAATGTGGATAAAAAAGGCACTGTGAGTTAAAGCCCTATTTGTAGGTACCACAGGGGGTGCGGGCTTGCTGCATGTCCTTTTCTCAGCCTTTTTTTATCTAGGCAACATTAATATGGTGATTACAAAAGAATTAAATTTCTCCATTCTTACTTCAGGCTTTCTCTCCATCCTTTGCAAGTTACAGAATTTTTAATTGTGATCTGCCTATCTTCTTAACGATACACTGATTTGTAGTTAAAGAGAGTATCCCTATATCTGCTCTTTCACATTTTTTTACTTTACCTCAGCTGAAATTCCTTCCAGTTCCTCCATGTGTGTGGTGTGTGTGTTTGTTCCTCTGATCCTCCCCCCGCCCCCGGTGTTAAGAGCACTAACTCTGTTTTTTGTAACAGGTGACTTCTTCAAGGACACTCTTCCAGAAGTAGATCTTTACATTCTTTCACGCATCCTTCATGATTGGCCTGATGAAAAGGTTCATACACTATTGAGCAAAATATCAGCTGTTTGCAAACCAGGTAAGGGTTTTTAGTCTTCTGAGTTTACAGAAGTATGGTTAATTATGATAATAAAAAGCTCATATTAAAAAGGAATTTTTTTGCAATCCTAGTAGCCTTTACTTCAATACTTGTGCTTGCATTATAACAATGCCTGTTAAAAGAAAAGGAGATTGTACATGTAACTATTTGATCTCCATCTGTCATGCCCATAGTAGCTTTCTTACCAAGTCTTCTACCTTCAAATACCTAAGTATATGCTTATTTCTATGCAATTGAGTAGTCTAACTAAATAAAGGGCATTGAAGTTAGTCAAGAGGAGGCAGTTCATTTTGTAACTTCAGTAATACCCAGAATATGGCATGTTGGAATTCAGCACTGCATTATGCACAGATTTCTCGAAATATATAGCATTTGTGCTTTCTCTTACATTTGAACGGTACAAAAGATCAAAGGGAAAGGCAGAATGCAGGAGAGAAGGGAGAAACACCTGATTGTTACGCTTTACTAATTCCTTAATTCAACAGGAAACTGTAGCTATTTCATAGGAGAGCATTCAGAGCTAGATCTAGGCCATCAAGGATAATTCTTAAATTACAAAACAGAATTGTGGATGATTCTTAGCCCTGCCTTCATATAACAAGGTTAAGACTGATTTCAGAAGCTGCTTGATTCACATGGAACAAGACTGAGCTTCAGAGCATAATCAGGAAGTGGTCTGAACTATACTGAAGATCAGAGTAGAGCTAGTGCTTTAAGCTCTCCCTTTCTTTTGGCATGCAGTGGTTGCTTACAGGAGAAGAGTAATGAAAGGAAACTTCCATCACTGGTTTCCACTGAAGTCCATTAAAACATCAGTGTGCACCTCTCTAACCATCAAAAACTGTGAACAAAACAACTACAAATATGTAGCTAAAAATATTTTACTGAACCACTTTTGGTTATTTTGGAAATGCAGGAAGTGCCTTGCTAGTGGCAGAAATTGTGCTTGATGAACAGAAGATGCATCCTCTTAGAGCTGTACTGCAGTCCCTCAGTATGACTGAAGGCAAGCAGAGAAGTGGCTCAGAATATAAACAACTACTGGAGAAATACGGATTCATGAATGTACAAATTAAGATCACAGGAAACTTACTAGATGCTGTTTTGTGCTTCAGGAAGAGTCAGTCACCTTAATGTGCACAGAAAGAACCTGGGACACTGAGCTTTTATAACACTTGTATAATATACTTATCAACCAGCATATACTGTCAGTTGCCTAGGATCATTTTTGACCTTTACCTGTCGTAGCAGCATAGATACTACAGGTTTTGGAAAAAGGTTTGACTGCAGCTTGGGTAGGGATGAGTTCTACCCCTCAAAGTGTCTGGGGCAGCCTGGAACTCGATATGTTACGTACCTTCATATCCAGTTCTCTTTGCTCGTTCTGCAGGCTATACAAAGGTTAGAGTTGACAGAGCTGTATAGCGTGGTAAGTTCAAACTGCTAGTCTACATAAGCTGCATTCATACCTTAATTTTAGTAGACTCCAACAAATTATAGAGAATTCTCCCTATGCAATATATTCAGTGGCTACTGCTTGTTTTATTAGAAATGAAAAAATAAAAGTGAACACTGTATGTATCAGTTTGGGGTTGGTCCTTCTTCACTTTTCTGTGGGACTTTGCTCAGAAGCACTCAAGTATACCTTTCTTTCAGCATGTTTTTCCTCAGGTAATAGTAAAAATAGGACAAAGCTAGAATTAGAAACACTGGAGCTCCTAGAGCAACTGTAAAGTCACAAACCTCAGCAGTCTTTGACTTCCAGTCAGCACATTTACAACAGTCTCTAGCTGAGAGCTGTTCCTCTCTGTTCCTTAGTTTCAGGCTTTTCTGGTTATGGTTAAATAGCTTTGTTTTCTGTCTCATTTGAGAATTAAGATCATTGTAAAAGTTCTCTTGTGAAAGCTGCATATAGAAATAGTAGTTTCTTCATGTTTCAGTTTGTGACTGGAGAAGTAAGCCCATACTGTGTATCTTGTTTCTTCAACTGATTTGTCATTGATGTCACCATTCCTAACTTTTCTTTTCGTGATACTATATTAATATTTATTTTTCTATTTAAAATGTACTTTGTAGTAGAATCCTTCCTGGAGATTAAAGCTGCACTCTAAAACTAGCTTTTACCTTAGCAGTTGTGAGTTTCTTGCCTGCCACATCCTTCTGTAGGAATAACTGTAATGAGCCAGTGTGAAAGAAGCAGTGTCTATGCTGAGTTGCTGACCTCAGCAATTTAAGGGGGTTGATGAGCAAGGTCAAGAGTTACTCACATCTGTCTATCACACTCCATCTTAGGTTATTTAATCAGTGAAGTTACTTTGCTCTTTGAGCACTGAATAAGGCAAAAGTACCATAATGAGAAACATGCTTACTACAGAGTTTCAGCTGCACAAAATCAAGGAAACATCAGACTTCCCAGCAAGGCCAAATTCCATTAATAACAAGCTTCTGTTAGGGATTTTTAAAAATTAATTCTTATCTAATCTGTACAAATGTTATCTGGAGGTATAAGTCACTCTCCAAGGAAAATATCCAGCTACTGAATAAACCTAAAGTAAGCTTTTGGCTTTTTTTTTGTGTTTACATGATGTCTGCCATTATGTTTAACTTGTATTTTGAGAGAGTCATTTCAGCCGTTAGATATCTCATTCCATAAAATTACTCATAAACTTCATAATGCTGTTCTTTATGCAGCTGGAAGCTGTTTGAGTCAGAGCATTGTGGTTTCAAACCTGGCATACCTGGAATGGTTGCAGACTTAAAACCTGTGTCTCTAGGTACTAAGTATTCACTGACTCTAAAATTTGAATAGAACATGCTTGGCTACCATACAAACTCAGTGTACTCTGATTGAAGCACAACATCTTATACTTTAGTCCCTTGGGTGTGGCATCCGCAGTAATGCACCACAGCTTTGCTAGGTTTTAACACAAAGGAAATGTTCTCAAGGTGTGAATATGAAAAAGCTGTTTGTTGAAATAAAATGCCGTTATACTAGAGAGGTCCAGCTTCATTTTGTCAATTAACTTTGACTGTGCTACAAAGGAGGCTAATATTTGTAGGCAAATCCGCTTTGCTGAACAGCGGATGACGTCTGCCTTCTTAGACATCTCCAAACACTGTTACAAGTTTATTAACTGCTGACAGGAAAATGGAGCAGGGTCTTTTAGAGAGGGGAAAGAAACGAGGTGTTTTGTTTTTTTTTAACCTCCCACTTTGCCTGCATCTTCCACACCCGTGACTTCAACTTGTTGAAGTCCATGACATTATGGAGTGTAAAGGGATTCAGGGCTGGCTCTCCAGAAAGCATTTAGAAGGAAGGTGTGAGACCCTCATACTTGAGCAAGTCCAGTGGAAGCCGTCAAGATGGCCATGGGGCTGGAGCACGTAGCTTGTGAGGAGAAGCTTGAGGGAACTCGGCTTCTTCAGTCTAGAGAAGAGAAGGCTTTGGAGGGATCTTTCAGTACCTAAGAGACTTACCAAAAAAGACAGAACCAGGCTGGCTCTTTATTGTGCATGGTAACAGAATGAGAAACAGTGGGCATAAACTGAAACAAGTACTGGGTATTAGGAGAAAGAAATCATTCTCAGGATAATCGACCGCTAGATCAGGTTGTTCAAAGAGTTCATGGTATCTCTGTCCTTGGAGGTTTCAAGCCCAGAGAATGAAGCCCTGGGCAACCTGATCTGACCTTAGAGCTGACCTTGCTGTGAGCAGGAGGTTTGACGAGGGACTTCCCAAGGTCCTGTCCAATCTAAATTATTCTGTGATCATTTTGAATATCCCAGATAACCAGTTTATCATTTCTCAGGCAACTATCATTAATGTTCAAACTTGGTTCTTCAGTTTCCTTTGAGAAAGCTGGTGTGTTTTCCTGACTTTTAAAGGGGTGGATTTAATAGTATTATTGCACTGAAAAGACTTCTTGAGCAGTGGGCATAGCTGAGGAAAATTTGGGGCTGCTCAGTAATCAAGACATGACACAAATCTTAAATGAGGGAGTATATTTTAAAATCCTAACTTAACTCTTGCCAGTAAAGCCTGTAAGTTTTCTGGGGTTCTTGGGAAGTGATATTCAGGTATGCCTGCTTGAAAAAAGCTGTCTTTTAACCTATGCTCTGCCTTACAATGTGGGGAAATCAATTAATCCTTGACCAGGAAACCAGGCCTGAGTGAAATAATGAAGAGGAGGTAGAGAATTGTGGGGGTTAAAAGAATGATAGGTAAAATAAGAGGAACCAGAACTCTGTCAGTTGCTCACTGAATGCTGAGGTGAGTAAGAATCCTCAAGGAGGATGAATGGAGAAGCCTATAAGACAGAAGAGACAAAACTTAGCTGATTGTCTTACCTCAGTAATTTGTTTTATGTCAGTTTTCTGCCTCACCTGAGCTACTCAGCACAGAAGCTTAGGAAGAGCTATTTAATGACTAAACCCTTTTTGTGAGCTCTCAGTTCAGTTTTGGATGTTAGCTGACTGCTGGATAACAGAGGGATTGTTATGTGTTTTTAAAAAAAAAAAAAAAATTGTTTCCAGACAGCTGTCACTTTACATGGTTTTCCCTACCTTTTGGCTGGAAATTTAATGTTCTTGCTAAGCCTTGATACTCTGGATTAAATGACTTTTTAATTCAGAAAAATTGTCACGAGTAACTTTGACTTCCTATAAAACTGTGGCCAAAATTTCTTCACCAGAGTATGCTTCCTGGAAGGGCTGGAAGTCCTTCTGCTTTAGTCCTCCTCATGAAGAGATTTCAGTGACATGAGAAAATCTTAAACATTTCTCTACAGTTAATTTTCTTCCCTATGCTAATTTATCTTACTGAGTTTTAACTTTAGAAGCTGTTCTTCCTGGATTGGCTGTGCTTCCTGGGAGTATTTTTGCTAGATTATGCTGTTGTTATCTAGATGTCGCAAATAACTTCCTGTGACAGATTAAAGTGACCATTATTTTGTGCTTTCCTTTCAGAGTGTTCAAAGTTCAGACACCCTCTTCCAGACCTGTAATATAAAACTGTCTGAGTGACTTAGAAAGGATAGTCCTGCATTAGTCTACCTGGGAATGTTTTCTGTGTAATCAGTTCAATCTGTTAAAGGCAAAGCAGTATCATAGAGAAAGGGAATAGAAACTATACTGTGTAATAACAAATTGGATTTATCATCCCAGCTTTAGAAACCTAAGCATCAGGTATTTAAGTCGTCTAGTCACCTTGAGCTCCTTCCGTCAGTAGAAGAATAGGCATTTTCAGAGGATGTTTCATGTCACTTATGTGATTATTGTAAGATGACTGAATTGCCTTCTGGGGATGCTGGTTTCTTTTCATGTACTCAGATGGTATTTAAAAAGGGGCTAGCTGAAATACAGCTATCTAATTTTTGGATGCCTGAATTTGGGCAGAAGAATCCCACTGGAGAGAGACTGTATGTTCAGGTTCACCTCAAACATGATTGGCTACTTTTTCTTTGTAAAACATGTTTGTGTTGTTGATTCATTATGGAATGAGTGGTTTCTACTTACCTCTAGTAAGATAGCTGATGATAGGGGGATGAAGCAGGGAATTGGCTAATAATAAGATGTCAGAAGAACTCGCATGACTCTCGATCATTACACTGAGGTCTTAGCGTTTCTTATCCTCAGATCTCAATTTATTCTCTGAAAGACTGCAGTGTTATGTTTAATTTTACTTTTTACTGAGCACTAGATGTGTGAGGTGGGCTGGTAAGAGTGGCTCGGAGGGGATTGTCCTAAGGGTTAGAACAAAGATGATAATGTTGTGCAGTGCAAAAAGTGCTTCAGAAACAGATCTGTTTTGCACTGCATTGGTGGCCTCCTACCTCCGCTATGCTGTCAGAGAGAAACTATCACATAAGATGTAGGGCCAAAAGATAAGAAGTAAAATGATGCTTATTTTGTCAGTAGTCTCCCTCGCTCTTGTCTTTGCTTTCCCCTCATGGGTGTGAAGATTAAGGAAGAAAGAGGTTGTGTGAAAACAGAATCACCTGAATTCTTTTCTCATACCTAGATCTCTCCCACCACAAAGACCGCAGCCCCCACAGAAATAATGTTTCCACATTGGCTGCTCCTCTGCTTCTGTAATGCTTGCCATCAGGGATCTCTCCACCACTTTGTCTCTGTGGCACAATTGCAATATAAATGTGAAGCAGTATTATATTCTAAAGAAATAGCACTGCTATTCCTACTGTACTTTTTTCCATAACTCTCATAGCCAAGTGCAAAGAAGTAGTTTCCTCTTCTGGAAACAGAGCCATATATTAACTTGTGAGGGTTTGATCCCTCGATATTGTGAAAGGAAATTTCCTGGTTTGTTTTTTCAATTTCTAATAATAGTGGATTATACAGTACTTTTAACTTTAACTAAGGGCAAATCAGTAAATGAGAAACGAAATCACTGTTGTATTGTAGCTTGCACCTTTCTGTATGGTAAATGAGATTCTCTCTTGTCTGATAATGGACTAGTACTGTTGCGTGCGTTTGTTTTCAAATTAGGCTGTGGGATTTTGCTAGCTGAAATGGTGTTGGATGATGAGAAGAAAAACAGAACCACAGCTTTGCTGCAGTCTTTGAACATGCTTGTGCAGACAGAGGGAAAGGAGAGAAGTGTCTCTGAATATCGATGCTTACTGGAACAACATGGATTCACAAATGTCAAAATCAGTTTGACAGGAAATGTATTAGATGTGATTCTCTGTGTTAAGACCTAGAAAAAGATTTAGTACTAAAATTTGAATGTATCAGTAGTCATATCTGTTTTTTTAATTATGCAAATATATGTTCAGTTTACCATCAATATTATAGACAAGAAATGCTTTGTCAGCTTTCTGAAGTTAATTTTAACAATGGAAAGAGATTGATTGCATTTATTTTAAACTTTGAGTAAAATGAGGCCCAAGATTCTGGTATTATTTGGTGGCAGTGATGTTATGACTGCACAGCGTTCATAGTACCCTCAGAAACGAGCCTCAAATCACAAACTGTGTCAGCAGCTTTACACTAATATTGACATTGCTGAGAAATCATTGTTTCTTTATATTTGGTGCAACTAGGATGGTCTAATTTTTAGAACAGCACATGTTGCTTTGCCCCTTTCCCTGTTTCAGAGGTTTAGCAGTAACATTTTGTCTACACTATTTCTTTCCATCATCCTTTTTAATATCATTTTTGTTTTACACTCTGCTGTAAATAAAGCAGCATTGCCTTACCCCACTCCACAACTTGCCTATACTTTTGCATTCTACCTTTTCTTCTGTCTTTATCACTTTTATTTATTTTTATACACTTTTTTGCTGCTTCTTTGCATCTTTTTTTCTTTTTCAACACACCTTCTGCTGTTCACTTTCTCTTCCTTTTCACAGGTCACAGCTTGATTAGAGGGATATGTTTCAGATGCCTTTTACAGTGGTTCCTCCTTATTTCTTGCTCACCTTTTTCCCTCGTTGTCTTACAGTTGTTTGTGCTCCTTACATAGTAAGAAACGGTGTAGACGGAGCTGGATTCCACATAACTGTTTACTGCCTGTATGCAGATGAGGTTGGCCTGAGATGCCAGAGGTGTCATCCCCACTGCCCAGCATGGGCTCTTTGTTTTCCCCTTTGCTCGTGTATAGTTAATTCCCAGAATTCCTTCTCCTGTCCTTTCTCCATGATCACAGTGCTCTGTCCCAGCCCATGTCTTCTCCTTTGTAATTGAGTCAAGATGATCATATGGCTACTGTTTTAGGCCACAGGGCTCCGATTTCCTCCAGTGACATACTCCCAACTGTTTGCAGGTCTCAACAAATTGAGACTGTGGGAAAAAGTGGCTACTAAGAGGCATACTGTTTTTTTCAGGACTGCACCCACAAACATGGGTGGGAAGGCCCCCGTAAGTAACCCCAAAAAGGAATATAGCAAGTGGTCAATAATAGACAAATGACTCATCAGCGTGCATGTGAAAATCAATGAAAAAACTCACAGTCCCTTTAGTGTTATGGAGTTTGTCACCACTGGGTAATCCTCCGTCTCCCAAGACGTGTTCATGTGGCACAAATAACCTTCTGCCTGTGAAGGCAGATTGTAAGGCTTGCCATGAGCATTTTAAGACAAAGAGCTTTTGAGCACTGAAGGGTAGGAGTTTCTCTCATCGATGGGAGTTGCCTTACACAGATTGGAAATTTTACAAAAAAGCTAAACAGCAGTGTCCTAATTAATACTTCCTCTCTCAATAGATAAATTGTGTTCTGATACCCGTAAGTGATCAGTTAATGTCAGTGTATCTGCCTCTATAAATGTTCCAGCCTGAGTATTGTGCATGCTTCTGCATGCAGCTTCATCATTCTTACAACATAGACATCTGATGGATAATATATCCTGATTCTGAAAAATCTGCAAGGTTCACTTGCTGTGCAAGGCTATATTGTATTCTTATTTGTAACAGATTACAACTTTTAGCTGCGAAAACAATTTTCTTCAACTGTCAATAGGTGCCTTCCATGTCTGCCCATTACCAATGCAACCATTTCCTTTTCTTAAGATTCAATAGAGCTACTCTTTTGGGGGGAAAAAAAAAAAGTTTTCACAGCCAGTAAGATCACTTCAGAGAGAATTTTCAAAAAAAAAAAAAAGTGAAAAAAAATTTAGAAGTCTGCTGGATTCTCCATCGTCTCTGCTATAGTCTCATGGTGCTGAGAAATAAAGTTTTAGTATGGCCATTCCACGTTTGATCTGATCAAGGTAAATCTCAAGGACAGCATTGCACTGCAGTAGCAACAAGTTAGTTTTTGTCTTCCTTTGTCTGCAGTTGCAAAGATGCTTCTGTTAATAATACAAAGAAGACCTGCTGCTTTCAGTGATTTCCCTTGGCTTCTTTACTTTTGTTATGAGATAATTAATAGGATAATTAATTAGGATAGTGGGAATCATCTCAGACACCTGTGCTAAGAGCTGGAAGCTTTGGTCTGGTCCTGTCAATTGCTCCTTCACCAGTCAAATAAACAAAAACACCAAGGGCCTAGTCTCTGTGGGAATACGACAGTTCAAGTAATGTGTGCATCCTTGAGTATATGCATCACAGCCTTTCGTTATATACTTCCAAAATATGGTCCTGTAACTGCGTGTGTCTAGCCCTGTGTGGGCACAGGAGTGAGTTCGCTACATCCATTCAAGGGTTTAGAATATAAAATAGCATACAACTTACTCTGTATTTTTAACGTACAATAAACAGTATAGTGATGTATTAATACATACTATCATACTACCTGAGAAAAAAGGTCTGGTAGATGAAGTAGAACTATGCCTAGCACATCAGATTGTCACTACACACTCTTTGAGAGATGCTCTCTTTTTGAAATCCAGTAGAGCACATATATGTGTAAACAGCGGTTTCAGATACCTCAGCTACTGCAGTTCTGCGGTTTATCTTCAGTCATACCGACCTATTAAAAAAAATTGTTTTGCTTTATTTCTGTTTGTATGAGAGATCCACTGAAAGGAAAAGTGAAAGCAATTACGAAAGAAAAGTACTAACAAAGTGCTATTAAATTAAAGGTGTGTGTGACCTAATGCCCTCCAGCTGTAAAATAATTTCAAGACTTTTAAAAAGAACGAGTATAATTTCAGACAGAACTTTGGCCATTAGATGTAAAATTTCACTTTCAGTATACAGCAAAGGTAACAGAAATTGCTGATGGGAAAGCAGCCTTATAGGGACAGGGGATCTGTGACGAGCGCCTCCTCTGACAACCCCTGTAAGAGGTTTTTACATCAACTAACTTTAAGCATTTAAAAAGGAAGTGAGGACCATACTTTTACATTGTAGGTAATGCAGGTGTAACTGTTTTTGGTGTTTCATTTGTTTTAAGCTGGATCAGTTCCATGAGGTATAGAAAAGCTTTGAGATGTGGCACCGACAGTGCAAGGGTGAGGATGAGCAGGTGGGAACAAACTTTGGGAACAAGGGCGTGCCTTAAGTCTGTGTGACCATGAGGCTGATGAGTACAGAGGAAAAGCCTCTGGTGTCCAGACAGTGACCCAAAATTCACTCTCCTCCTCCACGAAGGAGTGCTGCTGCTGTTGGGGACCACTCACAGTAACTTTGTGGGTGAGGTAGTGCCTCATTCCTAAATTGGCATTCAATATTCACAGCAGAACTAGCTTTCTAGTTTGCTTGATTATCCCCTGAACTGACCATCTGTGCTGACCAGACATGCCACTGAATTTGGCATTTGGCTGTCTTGCACTGATTTACATCCAGCTGTGTAAGGTTTAAATGGGTTAACGTAAATTTCAACGATAAATGAAAAAAGAAAACATACAAAAAAGCAGACCATAGTACAGAAAAGGGATTGATGCGGAAAAACGTGTGCGCGACGATAACTCTCTGCCGTGATGTTTCTAAACACCGAGGTGCGAGGCACCTGCGGGTGCTCTAACCGCCGCGGCCCGCCGAACCCGCCGTCTGAAGGAAGGAGGCCGAGGCGAAGCGGAAGAAGAAGACG